AACTCATCTTTGTATTCTGGACACTATTATATATTCAATCTATCTGTGTTGTGGAGAACAAGGGAGAGGTTTCATTGGTTAAATAACTGTTCCCTACAGATTTTGATTTCTAATTGGCAATATCTAAGCTAAAGAATAACATTTTGAAGCAAATCTGTAAATTCCTCTGAATATATTTTTTAACAGAGTAGGAAAATAAGATAAATTTTAACTTTGCAAGTTCTGTACTATAATTTGACTTAAACTACACTGAGATTACCATATTTCAAAACAGAATGTTATTTCTGATACATTTTCTACGAAGTATACATTTGACATATATGAGGAAATACTATATTTTAACACATAAATATATCTATTTCAAAAAATCATATAAACTTTCTTTGATTTTATAAAAGCCAAATTAGAGGATCCCATTTAATAAAGCAACAGCTTCTGTTCATTTCAACACCATTCACTTCTTTAAGCGCTCATTTAAAAAATTAAACAAAAATAAGTCATGGGGGGGAATCTCATCAATTTCTCCTGCTTACACACAATTTCAAGAGAGCATTTTACTCACAGTATCTTGGTCAAACCATCTGATGCTGAAAGTCCAGACATACATCATTCCTCCCAGCATTCTGGTGCCCTGATCAGCTCTGCAGGCAAGGAGCCAGACGCCAGGGCACCACCACTTCTCCCTATAAGCCTCTCCATCAAAACAGACATCTCTTCCGACTCTTAGCACCAGCTGCAATGTTACTTGGGCTTCCCAGATCATATTTTACTGTTTATGTGAAGGTGCTGCATTTGATCCAATAACTTTCCATATTTCCTCCTTCGAGAGAAAAAATGTTATCCTAGGATGTTCTGCTTTTCTGGTGCTGAAGGGGATAAGCAAAAGCAAAAGGAAGACCAGTATTCATCAAAGAATTTAAATGGTATTCTGGCTGCCCTTCATCTTTTTTTCAAAACAGAAGATGACAAATAAAATTTCAAGGCATAAATAAACGTTGATAAATACTTGTTGCATGGGATTGTGTATCTCTAATTTCCTGCTAAATGTACCTAAGTTTAAAAAAAAAAAGTCAGAAAATTCCGAATTAGTAGAAAAGATTTTCTTGTTTGTTTTTAATAAGGACAAATTATTTGCAGGTTTTTACCCATATACTTAGTACTTCTCTGATCTCTAGTAATGAAACCTCGCCTAAGCTATTATGGAGCATCCAGTAATACAGATGTTTTGCGATATGGTTATTCATTTACCTTTTTTGGAAGAGAAATTATATAAGGAACAAGAACAACAACAACCAAAATGGTGAGCTGGGTATTTCAGCCTGCTAGTCGTCTGAAAACATACTCTCTGCTTTCTAGTCATCTGACATACAGATTTATAATGGATCTACTATAATAATACATAATAATCTACTAGGCAATGCCGAGTACAGGGGTTCTCAAAGTGTGGTTTCTGAACCAACAGCATCAGCAACACCTGGGAACACTTGAGAAATGCAAATGACTGGGGCCCGCTCAGATATACTGAATCAAACTCTGGGTGGAGCCAGTAATCTGTGTTTTAACAAGCCCTCCTGGTGAATTCTGTTGCACCTAAAGTTTGAGAACCACTGGCTACTACAGAAGTGGGACGTAGTAAATGTTAATTTAGAAGGAAGGGAGGGGGCAGAGTGAGCCAGCATGTACCAGCACACAGGAGTGAGGGAGCAACCCTCCAATATCATAAGAGAGAAATGCTAATTTAATAAATAAAGCAAAGCAAATATAATAATCAGAAGGCTTTAAGGTAATGTTGCTTATCGATTAACTAGGTGCCATGGCTAACCATTATTTTATTGAGAGTTTCCTAACTCTTACATAAGGAAAACCATTTTTTTTTTTGGCGGGGGGGATGTCATTCAGAGCTCTCTGTGGAAGATGCCATGAGATGACAGTATTGGCCCATTTCTATCTCTACTACTTTAGCTAGGTAATCTTCACACGGTACTTAACCTCGCTGTTCCTCAGCCTGCCTGTCTGTGAAATGGAGATAATAACACAATGCCTTCCTCATCAGGTGATGAGGATTGAGTAAGTTAGTATACGTAAAGTACTTAGGAAAGAGCCACAGTAAGTAAGCACCCCATTCTCATTAGCAAATATCACAATTATGAGGATGATTGCCACAGACCCCAGGCCAGAAAATCAGCCTGGGCTCTGAGCTTTAGAGGGTTCCCCTCTGGCTCCCTCCAACCATGCCCCTTCCCATTAAGCAGTGGGTCTGCAGGACCCAGGGGATGTGTCCACCCAGAACTTCTCCCATCCCACTCTCCTCTTAAACCACTGGCCATGGCCGGTGCATATGGTGGAGGTTAAAGAGAAAAAAAAAATTTTAAAAAGCAGTTTTATGGTAGACCTGTGTTAAAAAAATGCCTGCATTCTCAGACTGCAGCCTACAGTGACTTTTACTGGACCCCAAAATGACTGCGCCAGAAGGGTGAGGTGGAATCTGCAGAGAACTCACCTAGGCACCAAAGTTCAAAGCAGTAAACCTTAATGCCACTAAATTCCACCCAAGCCTACCACCTTGTATAATTTTGGTATTTTGCACCAACCATTCCTACGTCCTCTTTCCCATACTGCTCTAAAACAAGGATTATGCTGCTGTCTTTTTAGTCAAAGCCTTTTCACTCCATTCCCTAGAGACTTATTCTACTATATTTAAAAGTCCCTACATTCTCAACCTCCTCAGAGAACATTCCCTCAGCTGTCTAGTGCTAACTAGAATATGGCTCCATCTACAGGACAATATGTGCACTACAGCCCTTTAGCAATAGGAAGAGTCCGCATTTTCCTAAACCCTACAGCAACTTCTAGGACACAGCACTTTCACTTGCATGTAAGCAACCTTTTCTCCTTGAGGGAAGAGTTCCTAAAATCTAGCACTTCTACCTTCACGTCCAACCATTTCTCACCCTCCTCCCTCCCCCATCCCCAATACATAAGCCCCTATATCAGTGCTCTTCAAAAGTGTCTATAAACAGCCAACTTTCTGCAACTGGTTCACAAGAAAATGCTTACAAAACCTGAAAGTAAACATTTAGAAGTTTACAGCAATTTGACATTAGCAGACTTCTCTTTGAACAAAGTGTTATCAAACTCACATAGTGAGGCCCAAGTGTGCTAGCTATACCCACATAAAGGTCCTTTTTCTACAGGAAGTATTACCCAAAGTGTAATGTGCCTACAAATCACTTGAGGAATACTGTTAAAAAATAAGTTTAGTAGTCTGGGGCGGGGCCAGAGATTCCACACTTATTTAATTTTTAGTTATTTATTTATTATTTATTATTTATTTGAGAGAGCGCAAGTGAGCTGGGGAGAGCAGGAGAGGGACGGGGAGAATCTTAGGCAGGCTCCACTCCCAGCACGGAGCTCCACGCCACACTCTATCTCAAACCCTGAGATCGTGACCTGAGCCAAAATCAAGTGTCACCTTAACTGAGCCATTCAGGCGCCTGGAGATTCCACATTTCTAATGAGTTCCAAGTGATACTAATGAGCAGATCTACGGACCTACTTTAAATAATGAGGCTTTTAGACAACTTAATTGAGATTTTCTCCAACCAGCCATGCTGTTTGCTATGCTTGTATGTTGCAAATGCTTCTCAAGTCCTGCAAACCAAATCTCTGCATTTACTACTGCCTCTGTTAAGAGTCACTGCTACCAAGAGGCTGTGCAACTTTGGGAAAATTAGGTAACCTTTCTGTGCTGCAATTTCCTCACCTTTAAACAAGGAATAATTCTAAGTACCTCTTAGGATTGTGGTGGGACTCAAATGAGTTAATTAATGTGATACTGAACATAATACTTGGCTTATGTTACTCATTATAATTTTTAAAAATTTTTATTCCTGTCTTAGCACTTAGGGAATTCCTGTTCATCCTTAAAGTCTTGTTCAAGTGTCACTTCTATGAAGCTCTTTTGACATCCTCCCACTCCAGGCAGAGTAAACCACTGACCCATTTATGTCCTTACTACACTTATAATTTAACTCTACTAAGATATTCCTGACCAAATATAATTTAAATATTTACATATTTCTCACATCCCAGTGGGCATGTCTTGAGAGCAGGAATTTTCTTCATCCATTTCTGTATCCCTAATGCCTACCATGCTGACTGAAAATAAAAAAGCTGTCTGTGAATGTTTTATGTGAATTATTATGAATCAATCCTTTAAAGCTTTCTGGGCTTCAGCAGAAACAAGTGTTATAAAATGTTATCATCAAAACCATGAAATGTCATTATATTTTGTTAGGAAGATTTTCTCAAGAAATAAAATCAATCATGAGAAATCATTTTAAACCACTTACATAAGACTTAAGCTTTAGGACTCTGTGACAATTCCAGTCATTTATTTTATGGTGAGAGCAAGGAAAAGAAAGGAAACATGGGAGCAGTTTTTAACAAAAAGTCTTTCAGGTTGCAGTATTTGTCTTTTTTTCCATGAGCAACACTTAAACGTATAAGTTTTGAAATTAAATTCTCTAGACATCTTTCTCATTCTATCAATACACTGACATATGATTTGACTAAAATGTAGTTGCTCCAGCACAGACAAAAAGAAATATATCCAGCAAATAATCCAATTCAGTCCTTTATTTTTTTAATGCATGTTAGCCTAACTGGCAGTTTTTGAGAGAAGTGCAACTTCTGAGTAACACTTAGAGGTAAGCATAAAACACTGTCTTCCTCCTTTATGCTCCTGAAACATACTACAAGCTCCAGGACCTCAAGGTTTTACAGGGAAGTGGGAAGAAGTTTAAGAAAAGATTCTCCAGCATGAAGCCACATATGACTACTTTTCCAAGAACGACTTGAATTATGGCATCTGGCTTCGGTCCCCTGCCCCAGCAGTGGAAAATGATACAGGTACATCATTTAGGAAAGAAAGAGCAATTCTGGTTTTTATTTTCTTTGTGCCCAAAGCTCTTCCAGCCCCAAAGCTTCCCCCTCCTTACCTCGATTTTTCAGTGGAGGCAATGTAGGGTGTAGATCTTTATTACATTCATTCCGTTCTGTGCAGCACTCAATTGATCTTCTTTGATGAGGAATGGGGGTGTCCTAAAGTTGAACCCAAAAGCTATTAGTGGGTTCCCCTAAATTTCAAAGTCACATAATCTAAAACTTTTTAAAGAACACTATTTAGAGAGCTCACTTAAAATTCTGATAATTTTTTCTCAAACATCCTGAAAATGTTATTTTCTATTAGAAAATTTCTCTTAAATTCCCATGTATTATCTTACCACAGCTTCTGCATTTCAACAAAACTACTGTTACATTTGTAATAACCAGGGCACATAGTTATAAACTGAGGAAGAAGGCTTGGATTAATGCAATTAACTAAACTGGAATCTGAGCAAGATGACCCAATGAGTCACTAAGCAAGAAATTAACATTTGATTTTGAAATGAAGGCAGAATTGGCCCAATGAGAGAATTTTCAAATTATTTTCCAACTTACTAAAAAAATCGGGCTAGTCAAAAAAAGCAATTGTTTTATCTAACTTGAAACCTGACTGTTTGAAAGCTAGCAATGAAAGGTTACAAAGTAGAATCAACTTATCTTCCTTACCCGACACTGAAAATCCGAGCCTTCTAGTCCTAGACATCCAGAAGTGACCACAGGCATCCCAGAGTCATCTTCTTCTATCATTGTGAAACAATATCCATCTGTGCTAAAGACCAAACAGGCAAAGTAAGTGTGTGTGTGTGTGTGTACGGGGAAAGGAACATGTTTATCATTTGTTTTATTACACATAAGGACAAAGCCAATGATCATTACAGGTTACAATCTGTTAAGAGAATTCCAAAACTTCCTTTTATGAAATTTGATTTAATAACCATAAAACATTTGGTAATATTTTCTCTGTCTAGAAACTTGTGAGAAAGAAGGAGCCAAACTTACCATGTAACATACGCCATTAATAATCACATATACCAATTACTAAACACCTGCTTTGGCCCTCTATAGGCATCACCTCCACAAATCCAGAAAAATGACCCTGTGAGGAAGGCAGTATTATTCTCACCTTCAAATGAGGCTCAGAGAGCTTGAGCAATTTTTCAAGGGCCTTACAGCAAATAAGAGGCCCAGCAGGAGTTTGCCCCCATGCAGGTGAACATTTATGCTGGTTCTATTTGCTCCAAATGAAATAAACTTATCTCTTACTAAGGCACCAAAAGAAAGACAGGTAGGAGCTGGGATCAGCACAGCATCACCGAGCTAAGATTCTGCCATTTGGTCCCTCTACTTTGGGGCTGATCTGTCATATGGAAACATCAAGCTTTGTTGTAAGCACTGGGGGAGGGGGGAGGTGAGGATGAAGAACAGAAAGAAGGGGTCTTAACAAGACCACAGAAAGCAAAGAAACAAAATTCTAAATTTCTGTATGGCTTTCTAGATTTAAACAAAAAAATTACTTATTCTATCTCATTTAATCCTCTCAACAACAATGGAAAGAAAGTGGTATTATTTCTATTTTACAGATGAGGAAATTAAAGTTAGGGAGTCTAATAAATGTATACAAGGTCACAGAACAAACGGTAACAGAATGAGGCCTTGAGTCAAGGACCTCTTGCTTCCTTCATCCCCGCATTTTGCACTCTCCTCTCCTGGGGCCAAATCTGGAAAACAAGAACTCTGACATACAGAACTATTTATAAACAGACTTTACTGTCTTCACAAGTTAGGGTGATGAATGCCAGCAGACTCCTGATGTTAGTCACCAACCACTACTGCGTGTGCTAAGAAATAAAATACTAAATTATATCTCCATCTTTTTCTCATACATATGCTTGCTCAGCATCCAAGACAGATATGGCAACGTCGCCCTGGAAGGTCAAGGGAGGAAAGCTCTGAGCACGGCCGGCATTAGCCGTGATTTGTGGGCTTGTCTATTCGGTATCAGTGGTAGCAGTATTCTGCCATACATTAGCCCTCCAGTTAGCATCAACACCCTTAGAATTGTTTACTCAGTTTGTAACCCTCAAGTGATCCAGAATGCCTCGGTTTATAAGAACTAGACCTGCAAAGTTCAAATATACTAACGAATGACTAAGAAGGGCCAATGATAAATCTCTTTGTTAGACTAAGGTCAAATGCATGAATATTGTCAGGGAAGAAAGACTGCCTCTGAACAGCCCTTGCTCTGAATTCTTTGGGGGCATTTTAGCCAATTTACTGAAATTGCTGTGAAAATCTAAAGCATGTAAACACTGAAGGCAATAAATAAAAGAGCTGTCCCTTAGAAATTTAAACAATAAGAGCAAATAATACCCATGTGATTTTTTTTTTTATTCCTTTCCTTCCCATTTAGACCATATGTGCAACTTCTATTTCTCATCAAAAATAAAATTCAGGAATTATCAGAAATAAAGTCACCTCAATTTTCTGACATTAGGACTTCACAGCTAGAAAAAGTGATACAATACGTTAAATCTAAAAAGATTAATTTCTCCTTATTTATGAGTTTCCCTTACTGAAAATCTGAATATATGGAAAGACACTCATAAAGATCAAAAAAGAGAATTTAAAAAGTTGGTTAAGCTGTTAGCAAGTTACTCTGATAATGTCCCGGGAAACATAAAGAAATCAGGGAGAGTAAATTCAAGCCTTAAAAATACACTCCCTTGGGCGCCTGGGTGGCTCAGTCGTTAAGCGTCTGCCTTCCGCTCAGGTCATGATCCCAGGGTCCTGGGATCGAGTCCCGCATCGGGCTTCCCGCTCTGCGGGAAGCCTGCTTCTCCCTCTCCCATTCCCCCTGCTTGTGTTCCTGCTCTTGCTATGTCTCTCTCTGTTAAATAAATAAAATCTTTAAAAAATAAATAAATAAATAAAAATTAAAAAAAATAAAAATACACTCCCTTGTGGAGCTAAAAATACAAAGAGGGTGTGGAGGAGGAGAGAAGTCCTGGAGAAAAGTCAGTGTCCCCTAAGTTATCAACTGGGACAGAAACCAAAAATGGAGCTGGAGGACAAGCCGAAAGGTTAGAGAACCATTTCAAGTGCATACTATCTGCAGCAAAGCAAAAATACTATTTTTTAAGACTTTATTTGTTCATGAGAGAGAAAGAGAGCGCAAGAGGGAGTAGTGAGAAGCAGAAGCAGGCTCCCCCGCTGAGCAGGGAACCCAATGGGGGGCTTGATCTCAGGGCCCTGGGATCATGACCTGAGCCGAAGGCAGACGCTTAACCGACTGAGCCACCCAGGTGCAAAACAAAGCAATGCAAAAATAATTTATAAGCTTCTCATTGAAATTACTAGCTAGCAAGGGACACTAACTGCAAAGGAGCAGTGCAATTATAGAAGCTTAAGAATCACTTGAGAACTTTCAATTCTTGAGCAAACACAAATGTAAACCAAGCTGTGCTCCTGAGTCAGAGCTGTTCAACTCCCTCCACTGAGAGACGGCTGCTGACTGTCACAAAAGGCAATTAAGTCTTGGCACTGGCTTATTTGAATATTCTGCTGCCTGGCTGCCATGTTTAAGCTTAGTTTTTAAAAGTTTTATATTGATTATTATTACCCCAGTATTCCCACGGTGTTGAAAGTGGTAACAAGAAGAAATGAAGCCTCATGAAGAAAACACAAGTAGAAATCATTTTTAAAAAAACTGAAAGCAGTGAGATGTATATACAGGGATGCCATCTGGTTACAGTAGTGATAATGAATTTTTAAAAAAAGGAAATTGATGTAACATTTCAAAAATGCTGCCCCTATATTACAGGTAAAGACAAATCATGAACAAAATAGAACAGTTGCATACCAAGGGGATCAGTCATCATCACTGACTGCCTCTCAATATTATGTTAATTTATGAAAAAGCAAAGCATTTGAGAATTTATAGGTCATGTGAAGTCAAAGCACTGATGATGAACTTTTGTTAAAACCATCGGATGGTGCCACAGGTTTCTGGCTCCTTGAATCTGCCCAAAACTCCAAAAGCAAAGAAGTGTCTAGAACATCTAGAGAGATCATTCAGGAATTAACTTCCTCAAGAGATTTTCAGTAAGAAGCAAGCAAGCGAGTAAGAAATGGATATACGAGGCCCAAAGTTTTGGATGGATGTGCATCCAGAGCCTGCACTCCTCTCATTTGTAGTCGAATTGGGTTCATAAACTGCCTCTTGGACTCCAATTCCTTCATAAGTTCTTGTAGAATAGTCAGAAACCAATTCCATAAATGTCTAAAGTTGCACTGCCAGCATCTTTATCTAAGGTGCTCTCTTTATTGTTTTGTTTTAGTGAATCAAGTGTTTGTAAGGTTTACTCAGGATGTGGTCCCTTTACCTCTATTCTTCCACTAAGATGTTATGTTTCCCTGTTGCAGATGCTAGGGTTGTTCAAATACATGACCACCACGGTTGAGGAGGGACTATTGTAGAAGTTTTTTCTAGTTTAGATCTTGATAAAGATTAATGTAACTATAAAATAATTTTTAAGCATTGGTTAAGAGTAGTTCATCTGTTCTGCTCAATCAGGGTGACAGGAATATTAAAATATTATTAAATAATATTATTAAAATATTTTTTAAATTATCAAATAAATTAATTACTGAGTAGTTTAAAATTTGCTCTTGACAAAAATTAATTATATATATGGATACCTGCTGAAATGGATCTCTCTGCCCATAAGGATTATAGCTCTCTTGACTGATCAATATTTATTCCAGTTTTATTTCAGTATGTGAGAAATACTAGAATTCCTAAATTTCTTTCAAATTTCTTTTAGGTTTCAGCCAGAATTGATTGGAAAGACTGTTTGATTTTAAGTAGATTTTAAAATCAGTCCTTGAGAACCTTTTGTCTTCTAAAATACCTATTTCACATTCAAGGGAATAAAGAAAGTTTTTGAAGTTTTCTGTCACAGATAAACTCAAAAATACATACAAACTTTAGAGCCGTTATTTAAATCATGTAAATTTTAATTAACTAAAACAGTAAAAGCTGCTTAGATCTTTGTTAACAGTAGTTCATGTGACAAATATTTATTGAGCACATGATTCTGGCAGAGTTAGATGCCCAGACACAAGCTGAGGAAGATGCAGCCCTAGCTCTGAGGGAGCTCATAGTCTATGAATGCCACAGTCCTAGGAGAAACCAAGTCATTCAACTTCTAGCAGTAAGGATAGAAATCATAAGCTAGTCAAGGTGTTTTCTACAGACTTGGGAAAAAAACAAAGAATAATATTGAAAGTGGTAGTTATCAAAGTAATAGAATCCTAAAGTGTATATGTTTTTTTCCTTATCATCTTAGATGGGTAGATTCCCATAGTAGTGAGGGAAAGAGGGCAAAACATATATGGCTACTACTGCGCCCCATCTCTAGTTTTTGCTCTGAGACGTCGTATCTCTACAGGAAGGTGAAGTTAAAATACTGATAAAGTTCCAACGTGAGAGATGCCTTTTACTTTATCTTCAAGAATGTGTAACTATCTTACACCCTTCTCTAGCAGCCATTCCAAGTGATTTGGCATTTTGTTCATTTTTTTCTATGAGCTACAAGATCTCTTGAATTTGTCTTCATTTTTATATGAATTGAGCATTTGTATATTCTCATCTCACCACCCCGTGCAGATGCTCTCTGTCTCTCACTTAGATTGCTCCAAGAGCCTTCTAGCAGCCCTCCCTGCCCCCTCTCACTGGACTTGGAATGACTGTGTACAGCACTTCCTGAGAAACCTCACATCTTCCTTCTCTGCTCGAAAATCTTCAATGGTTCTTTAAAAGATCATAAAGCTCAATATTCAGATGGTCTGAGCAACAGTGGAATAAAATGGATGCAATGGAAGATGTATAAACAGAGGAGAACAATGTGCATTTTAAACATTCTGAGATCCTAGGTCAGGAGCACCTGTCTGAAAACTCACATCATCACATTAAGCAAGAGGTTTAAAAGTCTTGGGTTAATGCAAACACTGTAAAAAGGCTCACAGCCCCTAAGCTTTCCCTTTTTTCCCCCTGTGACTCTTCAAGGTACAGTCGGGAGACTTATCTAATTCTTCATTTAGACAGCCTGGTGTCATATGCACATCCTTCGTGCAAACATCCGATGTGATTTATTACACCTGTAAGCCCGGAAAACTGTCCAGGCAGAATTCTTGGTCAAACCCAGTAAGATAAATGGTAATGTATTTAAAATCATCTCTGAAAAAGAGTAAAAAATAATTTTTAGAAATGGATAGACTTGTGCGAGGGTCTGGGCGAACTTGAGAGAGGTGGTGAGTAGTAACAAAAAATGACTATCACAGGCCAAGTCAAGTAAAACAGGGAAGGATATATAAAGCAGGACCAGATTATACAGAGACAAAAAAATAGACAAGGCTTGAAAATAAGACAAAACACTGGCATGGTGAAAGTCATGTAAAGAGTTATTGCAGGAGACTTTGAAGCATTCAAGGTGTGTAGTGATAGTCTCAGGTCCAAGGAATAAATCTAGAAAAGGAATGGGAAGGATTCACAAATGTAACAGCTGGAAAGATATTTAGAAGATAGATATTATCTTGAGAGAGAGAAAACAATGGCTTCACCCCTTATTTTGAGTTATGGATATTAAAAAAGATTCTAATACTTTCTTCAGCATCCTTGCACTGCATCCTCTAACATGTATGCCATGAGGCAATGGAAACAGCACGGGTTTGGGAAGCAGACACACCTGCCCCGGATAGGAATCAAGGCCAAGAATGAGTCTGGCCCTGGTGTTGGCTGGCTGGTAACGTGAGTGATGCTACTTATGAAGAGTTTAAAAACCCTCCAAACTTTACACATATTTTCTGAATTATCAGGTGGGATTCCAGAATCTCTTTTAAGTAGGATATAGTCCTGATTCAGGCCACTTTTTTAGAGTATTCTGTCCAGAAATATGGGAGTGGTAATGTACCTGAGACCTACCTAGGATACCCAGATTGGCTAAGAACTGCCTACTACAAGGTCTCAGGCCACACAGCTTGAACGAGCCCTCATCTAAGCTTCAACAAAGCATGCCCTGGGCTTTAGAACTGGTTTACCTAGGAGTGCAAGACTGAATGCAATATTACTCCCAAGTGTGTTCCCTTGCAGGTCAGCAAACTGCTTGTTACTGGTCTGTGAGGAGTTAATACAGAAATGGAAACTTGCCTAGCAATAAATTTAGCTCTAATGAATCTCAATAATAGAAAAATAGAAAAACTTGAACATATAATTTATAAGTTTTTAAAATTTATTTTCTAGTAATTCATTTTTATTGTACTTTATAAAAGTATCAGTGCAACTGATGGGGCGGGGGAGTATCTTTCCCCAGAAATAGCATGAGAAGTACTGATTGTTGGAAGTCAAAACAGTAGATCGTGGGCTTACAAGAATGGAGGCCTGAATTTATTCTAAGGTCTTGGGGCCCAGGAACAAAAGCAGCCCCTGTGATTCACACGACTGATCTCAGCTCACAGGAAACTCAAATGGAGTTAAAATCTTGTTAGCAAAAACGATGTGCGTTTTACCCAAGAGTGAATATTCACTCCTTTGATATCTAGGTTCAGGGGATGGCTGACGGTCAAGAATTCAGGACTTTGGAATACATAGTTCTAAACTGCACTTACCAAGGTCAATAAATCTGACCGCCAGGTTTTGGTTCTTATCCGACTTGACCTCTAACAGCTTCTAACACAGCTGACCTTACTTCCTCCCTCTGTAAACCTGGCTTCAATGATTACCATACTCACTGCTTTTTGTTCATTCTGAATCTTCTGAGAAGAGCCTCTTTGACCCAGGCATTAAATGTATCAAGGCCCAGTCCTACTCTGGTCTACCAGATTGTTCTATTACTCATGCCCCGCCCTAGCCATGGCTTCTCTCCAAAGCTGAGCTTGACCATATCACTTGATTTGGTAAGTGAAATGTTAGAGGACATGCCACAAGTACAAGAGGTTGCTCCCTCCCAGTCAAGTGAGAAAGAACATGCCCTGGTTATCTTCTGGTTCAAGGAGGATGAACAAACATGTGGAGCAGGCCGATGCCAAGCCCACCCAATCCAGCAGGATCCAGCAGAGCTGCAGCCGATATGTAGACCCAGGAGTGAAAAAATAAATGTCTTTAGTTGTAAGTCATTTGTTTCACAGCAAAAACTGACTCATGTTCTACTCACTCTAGACTCTTCCCGCAAACCCTTCATCTCAGCTCCAGATCCACATCCCATGGCCCACTCTTTGGTATCTCCCTTTGCAGCTGTCAAAAACCTTAAGCTCAGCATGTCCAGAGTGGAACTTAAATATTCCCCTCTGTCCTCTTTCATTAAAAGCCTACACTGTACATCTAAACGTACCTCCAAAAACCTGTGAAGCCCCTCTGGGCCCCTCGCACATCCAGTTCATCAACATAAAACTTTCCTTCTAAATAGCTCCCCAACACATGCACCTCCCTCTTGTGCCAGCAACACCCAAGTCCACGATCATGGCCTTCCGAAATCCACAGTAATACTACTGCTACTCCTGCTTAAACAAAGCCCCCTCCATGGCCTCCTAATGCTTCCAGGAATAAGACGAACATTCTTTTTAAAGATTTTTTTTTTTTTAATTTATTTGAGAGAAAGAGAATGAGAGAGAGCAAGCACATGAGAGGGCGGAGGGTCAGAGGGAGAAGCAGACCCCCTGCCGAGCAGGGAGCCCGATGCGGGACTTGATCCAGGGACTCCAGGATCATGACCTGAGCTGAAGGCAGTCGCTCAACCGACTGAGCCACCCAGGCGCCCAAGACGAACATTCTTTTTTTTTTTTTTAAAGATTTTATTTATTTATTTGACAGAGAGAGAGACAGCAAGAGAGGGAACACAAGCAGGGGGAGTGGGAGAGGGAGAAGCAGGCCTCCCGCCGAGCAGGAGCCCGATGCAGGGCTCGATCCCAGGACCCTGGGGTCATGACCTGAGCCGAAGGCAGATGCTTAACAACTGAGTCACCCAGGCGCCCCAAGACGAACATTCTTAATAGAGCCTACCAGGCCATGGGTAACCCTTCCTGGCTCCAGGCTCAACTGCAGCCACACCTCCTCCTGCTCGCTGCACGTTAGGAAAACCAGCCTTCTTTGAACATGCCAACCTTCTCCTTCCCACACAGAGCATCTGCACTGCAGTGAGCCCTGTCTGATCACTTTCCTCCGAGTTAACGTAGGACACTCTAATGGCCTACAGGGAGAAGAGGACAAAATATTTAAAGTGGGGATAATTTCGGAAGGCCTACACATATGACCACCGGAAATAGCTCAAATGACACACCTAGATTTATTCTTAATTACTACACACTCAGGAAAAACAGTAAAATATCTCCCTAATATGTTTTCTCCTGATAATTTTTTCTTCAGAAAACTTTGACATTTTCCTGATACTTTTGCCATTTACTACAAACAGGTAGTGTTTCCCAGGAAATACGTCTGAGCTCTGGAATCATTTTACCATGGCCCAAGTCTCAGTGATCCCAACTTTGTTCTATCATATAAAAGCCGAGTTACTAGACTTCTCTGGGCCGTGAATTCCTTACATCTAATGAATGGTAAGAAATAAGCATGCCCTACCATGCTGAGTCGTTTTGCTGATTAAAGGAGATATGTATTTATGAATATACCTAACATTCTTCCCAGTCATTCAGTTAATATATATTTCTTGAGCTATCTATCTCAGGATATGCTTTCTTTCTCAGGAAGAAAAAAAAAAAAGCATTCACCTCAGCTTCATGCTCCTTCCTGGGTAAAGAGGTTCCAAATGATTGCTCAGATATTCTGCCTGACTTCAAACCTAGCAGCCCGTCTTCCCATTTAGTTCTATTGCCCTTCTTGAGAGAGATTCTGCTTTTCTGCCACTTTAACTCTTGAGATCTGCACTTGTCTGTTTATTCTGCCATGTCTCCCTGGGCACATTGGCCTCATGATGCTATACCTCTTTACCCACTGCTGTCCCCATGGGGGGGGTGTAAAGGCAGGTTATAGTGCCTAGAAAAATGGATGTAGCTGCATTAAGATGTGTAAGAAAGAAAGCGGTAAACAGTCCAGTTTCAAATAAAGTTTTGATACAGATATGATTATCCACTAAGGAGTTTATTCTCTAATACTCTGGCAATGTCTTTCCTAACATCTGGTAGACTCATCACGTGAGCTCTATCACTTTACTGTTTCCCAGAGCCAGTGAACATTCCTAACAACTCAGGTGTTCTTTCCAAAATATTAACCACCATTGACATGATGAATTGTTAAAACAAATAAAAATTATCCTCACACATATGACACCCCCTACTATTGAATTTATTTTGGGGACAAGGTTTTTTGAAATAAAACATTTGACTTTTGCTCCTTGACACTTGTCCCAAGCCTGGGACTTGTGTTCTGTGTTTATGTACATGTGTGATATTTGCAGCAAGGAAGAAGAATATCAGAACACCATTTCAGGCCAAAATGCAATTTAATATTTTTCTAAACACAGGCACAGCTCTAAGAGTTAATGGAGTTAGGCACTATTCCCCAAAATGTGTTCTTGGAAAACATCAGCTTACAATTCCGTAGTCAAAAAAGCATGACTTTTTGTTAAAATGAGGTTTAAATAATTTATATGACCAACCTGCAAATATTGTTGACTGAGTCTTCTGGACAATGGTGGTGGCATTTGCAACGCAAGATCTTTGGACGAGGGGTGGGGGCTGTACTCTCACCATCCTCTTTCTTGGTGCCCACATTTACTTTTCCTGAACTTCGCAAAAGCATGTTATCAAGTAAGTTTGCTGAAAAGAACAAACAGTAAGAGTTTAAGTATCTGTGGGATAGCCCAGCCAATGTCTTCTACCCAAAGAACAATGAGATTAAACAAAATATTAAGTATTTGTGATACTTAAAGATTTAAATATAAAACAGTGTTTTAATGATTTTGATATTAGAAATTATGCTCAGGATAACTCTACTTATAGCATTGTTATAATTATGTAATATATGTCTCATATAAAATACAGAAATTCTCATCACCCTTTCAGGATAGCATCCTATACATTAAATTATAATAGTTGTATTTGATTGAGTACAACGAGCTCAATGAGCACTAATATATAGATCATCCCTACTCTGTATGGTAATGGTATGGGTAAATATCATTCCCATTTGCAGATGAGAAAATTAAGACTCAAAGTTTAAGTGATCTGCACACAGCTAATAAATCATGAAGCCAGCACTTAAACCCAGATTGTTTGGACCCTAAAACTGTCTTCCTATTAGTCTTTTTACTTTAGGTGTATCATATATTTTTAAAGAAATTATTAGAAATATTTAATACGCAAAATTGGTGGGAAGATGCAAACTTAGTTATCACTAAGATACATCAAATGATACATCTTCCCCAACAGCATTTACATGAAAAGTGCCTTCCCGGGCGCCTGGGTGGCTCAGTTGGTTAAGTGACTGCCTTCGGCTCAGGTTGTGATCCTGGAGTCCCTGGATCGAGTCCCGCATTGGGCTCCCTGCTCGGCGGGGAGTCTGCTTCTCCCTCTGACCCTTCTCCCTCTCATGCTGTCTCTCATTCTCTCTGTCTCAAATAAATAAATAAAATCTTTAAAAAATAATAAAAAAAAAAAAGAAAAGTGCCTTCCCATTATAGTAGCTATGGTTCTACAACTTGAATGGAAGACATGATACAACAGATGTGATCTCTAGAGACAGATTTTCTGAGTTCATAATTAGATTTTACTATTTACCAGTTGGTTGACCTTGGGTAACTTTATAAATAATCTCACTGTGCTTCACTTATCATTAAAGTAGAGATAATTGGGTGCCTGGGTGGCTCAGATGGTTAAGCGTCTGCCTTCAGCTCAGGTCATGATCCCAGGGTCCTGGGATCGAGTCCCGCATCGGGCTCCCTGCTCAGTGGGGAGCCTGCTTCTCCTTCTGCCTCTCTCTCTCTCTGTCTCTCATGAATAAATAAATAAAATCTTAAAAAAACAAATAAATAAATAGAGATAATTATAAGCACCTACCTCATGTCAACAGCTTAGAATGTATATGTTACATAATAATACTGGATAGATGTTAGCTAATAGTATTGGAAAGATCTAATCTTTTTTTACTTTTTAAACAGTAAGATTTCGGGGTGTCTGGGTGACTCGGTTGAGTGACTGCCTTCTGCTCAGGTCATGATCCTGGAGTCCAAGGATCGAGTCCCGCCTCGGGCTCCCTGCTCGGCAGGGAGTCTGCTTCTCCCTCTGACCCTCCCCCTCTCATGATCTCTCTCTCTCTCTCATTCTCTCTCTCAAATGAATAAATAAAATCTTTAAAATAAATAAATAAATAGTAAGATTTCATTCGTATAGGGTGACTTATCACTGAGATGGTTTTCATACTTTCCCTCTTTACTACCACCTTTGGAAAGTAATGATGCCTGCCAGGTGGACATGCATTATCTGATACCTATTATGTTCCAGGCATTGGGGCAGGAGTTCTCATACATGCTACATCACTGAATAAACTGTCAACCTGAGCAATGTTTGATTTAAGATCTCTCTCACAACACATTGAGCTTGCCTCTAATTAAAACAAATCTTAACAAAAAATATGATCGAAAACACACGTTGGATTAAAAAATTGAAATTCTAGGCCAGAGATGCAATATACTCAATAGATGTGTTATACAATATGCATGTGTTCATTTCTTAAACCACAAATTAATGCCTCTAGCCACTGGTCACATCAGAGAATGAGAAGTTTAAAAAGAAGATATATTTTTTCCTGACTTTCTGTATGGTAAGCTAATTAGGTGAATTCTTAGAGAGTAATAACTGATGGGGAAAGCAATAAAATGTATTAAATCAATTTACCAGAATTTCCCCAATCATTAATTCTAAATTCATTAGATTTTTCAAATTTATATAAGATGTGTACCTAACTTTCTCAAAGTTTCTTAAATTTTAGTCTAGAGAAGACATGAAGATTGTAAATGTGCATATGCAGAGTTTGTTATATGCAGAATCTCGGGCGACTCAAAGTGATTCTGATTCCATAGGTCTCAGGCGAGCCAAGGAAAGTGAATATTCAAGATCCCATGTGATTGTGAGACTGATCATGTGCAGACTCCACTTTGAGAAACTCAGGACTAGATTAAGCAAATAATATTTATTTAATCCAACCATATAATTCATTGCAATAGATGTATATTATCTCTATACAATAGGAGGCTTATCCTTAAATTCCAAAATAAACATATTATATGTTACTCTCTTGTATTTAAAGCATTTGTTACAAGTTTGCCTGCATAAACACCTCAGCACCGCTTGCTCTCCAGGTGCAGTGCGTGTCGGTAAGCCTATAGATCACCCTGCCATGTTGGCTTCCTTCTTTTTAAATCTGGTTCTCAATCTTACCAACTTTATGACCTGAGTAACATCGAAGTAACTCTAAGTGATGAAAATAAGTTATTTAAAATTTATTACATCCTGCTTCCTTCATACCAGACTGCTTCTCTTTTAAGTTTTAAAGCAAAATAATTAAAATTCATTTATTATGCATATATCTCATTAGCAAATATGTATCAGGTGCCTTTCCTGTTCCAGGCACAGCCTGATTATGTAGGATGAACTGAACATACACAGGATTTCCCATCTGGTGGGAAAAGTGGTTAAATGGAATGTTTACACTGAAAGGTCTCCATTAGAAAAGGAAGCATATCTTCATACTATCGGAAATAAGATGTCATTTAGTAAGAAACATTTTTAGAAAGGATTCATAATTTTCTCACATTTAAAATTTATTTAAAGACATATAAATTCTAGCTAGAAGGAGGTTCTTTGCAATACTGCTTCTAACAACCCACATTTACAACAGGGGATAAGTCAGATCTCTAAAAAGAGATTCCTATATAGTCATTAAAATGTTGGTGTGGATATATATTTATTGTTAAGAAAAATATTAAAATATATTTTTTGTTGGAAAGGGTAGATTAAAAAGTATTTTAATTATGAATCCCACTAGAATAACAGGAAAAAAAGGCTTAAAAAAATGAACCTACAATATAAAAGAGAGCAATAAAAAACCTGGTAAGCAGAAGGAAAGCAGTTAACTGATTTAACTAAGCCAAAGATGTTGATTCCTAGGCCAAAGGTAGAGAAAAGTCAAGAAGCAAAACAATTTTACCACTTAACTCCAAAAAGACCCCAAAGTGGTACCACAAGTTGCTTTTAGAAGTAGAGTTCAGCTGCCCTCTCCCATCCCCAAATGCTGGTAACATCACCTGCACCCTCCCCACCCCCGCATCCCCACAGAAGACTGGAAGAGTAAATCTGATATGCATATCACTGAGATGCCTTCCTTATGTTCCTGTTTTACCATCAAGGTGAGGGGCTGTAGAAAACTAAGCACAGGGGAGGGTGGGGGGTACAACCTTACTGCAAACATTCAGTGACCATTTACACTGGCGGTTGACTCCTCCTGTCCTCTCCCTCTACATGGCTTCCAGAACTTGATGCAGCCTGACTTATCTCTTCTTTACTCAGGAATTTGACCAGGTCAAGAACAAACAAAATACCTAAAGACAGAGATATTAGAGGTTTCTCAGCGAAACAGCCCTGCAGTATTATCTTATGGTAAGGCCCGCTGATGACAAGATCTACCCAATGAACAGAGCTTCCAATCTGCTTTTACAGTGATCCATTCTCTTATGTACAAACCACTAATTCAGGGTCACTAGATATATGAAGAAAGCCTCAAACATCAAATACTGAGAACAAAACACAAGAAATCCACTTGGAAGAAACATACAATGGGAAAAAAAACCTTAAAAAACAATTAATACTGTCATTTTTATTAAAAAAATACATCAATGAAACAAGAACGTGTTGCTACAAAAAGGGAGTAATAAATAAGGAACTCTAAAAATATGATTGCATAAATTAAAATCTCAATAGGTGAGTTGAGATAAAGATCAGGAAATCTCCCACAATGTAGGGCAGAACACAGATATGGAAGAGTTCAGTAAATTAGAGCATCAATCTAGGAAATTCAAAACGTGAATAATAATATCATCTCCAAAAAGAAAGACTTGAGAAAATAGAGGGGAGGAAATCATCAAATAAATAGTGTACAATTCCAATAACTGAAAATCATGATTTTCTAGTTTGAAAGGATTCATAGAGTATACGAGTAGACCTACAACAAGGTATGTTATAAAATTTTATAACACTACAAACAAAGGGAGATCTTATATAACATATATTTTATATATTTAAAGATAAAAATAAAAGATTTAAAAGTAAGTATGGCACTGAATTTTCTACAGCAAAACTGGAAACTAGAATAAAATAATGTCTTCAAAATTCTGAGGGAAAGTGTTTCAAATCCAGAAATCAATACCTGGGCAAATTACAAATCAAATATAACATGAAAAAAATTTTTGAAGATTTTTAAGGTGTCAAAAATTTATCTCCCCTACACCTTTCTCAGGAAGCTATTGGAGGAGATGTTCTGCCCGAATGAAACAAGAAAACAGAAGAAATGAGTTTCTGCTATGGGAGATCCAACCCAAGAGAAAAGTGAAGCATCCTCTCAAGATAATGGTAAACATGGATAGTAAGATGAAAACTATGACTGGACCGAAAGAACGACCAGACCTGACTGAAGGCAGGTCAAAAAATTCTGGGAGACAGAGGTCCAAAAAGTTAAAATTAATAAAATCACTCAGGTATTTTAAATTTAAACTGATTAAGAGTTAGGAAATTAATTTGTGATGGAAATATAGGAATCTAAGGAA